TTTGACAAGGCCAATTCGCCTATGGAGAAGGAGTCTTATCAAGTTTGCAAATGTAGTTCCAAGGTCTAGGGAAAAATCGTTCAAAACGTTTATTATATTTTATCAAAATAAATTTTTTGATAATTTATCTCTAAAATGATAATTTTATATTTCTTGCAAAATCAAGTTGATAAAATTTATTCCTAACATAAGTTTTAGATCACTTTTTTACCTCTGAATTGATGACTTATATATGGTCTTTTTTTAGGGACAAAAAAGTTATATCCTATTTGTAGTTAAATAAATAATATGATCCATATTCATTTTTACCTCTATAAATGTAGAATTTGATTGAATCATATTCATTTTTATCCTAAAATTATGTGAATTGAACCAATTTATATTCATTTTCCTACTAAAAAAGTGGCATTTGACCTTTTTATACATAAAAAATGATTACATCTGGGTCACATGTTAATTTCAAACTAAAAAATAGCTAGAAACTTATGTTATGACCAAAATTTACTAACTTGAATTTATAAATGACGTATATTTAACATTTTAAAAGTGAAGAATGAAAAATTTTATTTTTTAATGAAAGACCAAAAAATTCATTTGATGAAATATGATGGATATTTTACATAAATTTTCCTAAGTTTTTTGCGAGAAAATTTGGCAAGCAATTATTTTTAAAATTTTATTGATTGTATAACATATTTTTGGTCATCCTTCTATTTTTTAACCAATTTTTTTAATCTCATGTAGATCACATCTCACAAAAAAAATACTGTAATATTATTTAAAATTTTTTTCTAATAATCTTCTATTGAACATACTCAATAATACTCCAATAAAACTCAAATTCTGATAGTATTTGGTTTGACAATAGAAGGTTAATCTTGATATTTCTTCAAATACCGTTGTGACATGAAAATTTGAGATTTGACAATAAAACCAACCAGACCAAAAAAAAAAAAAAAGGAATAGAGAGAAGAAAAAACTAATTTTCCAATCATCATTAAGTTTGTCTTGAAAATACTAAGGGAACAACATCTCTTGATGTTCTCATTTTAGTTCATGTGACGAGGAAATGTGATCAGGTTGTTGAGGGTCGATACTTGAGTTCAAACTTTCACATAATTCTGCACATCGAGAAGAAGCAGAATGAGGGAATGGATCGAGTCTTGCAACCACTCCGATGCTTAAATCAGAAGATAGTCTTCAGATTAAAAAAAAACAAAAAAACAAAAAAGAGTAAGTAACATCGAGTGAAAATGGAACGCCTTTAGATTTACCATTTTGAAGCCAGGGCAAGAGAGAGCGTTCATAGATGTGAGAGGACGACATGTAACGTTGAGGCAATGTGAGGATTTTGCCCCAGGGACAAGACGTTACTGGTAGTTACATGGGCGTATCGTATCATCATAGGTAAAGTAAAAATCATGAAATACCACTTCTTGCAAAAGGCTATAGTCCGTCCAAGATGACGCAGTACAACTTTTAATATAGGGTTGGCTTAGTCCCGTTAAAGCTCGATTAAAATATACTTCAGATAAAACGACCTTGCACTATGACCAATTTAATAATCTTCAGTTGTTTTCATAGTTTTTTTTTTCTAAGTTAATTCTTATTCTATTACGGTTTCGTAACATCAAGGGAGAACATGCCCTTCCATACCTATTTGAAGCTTGTTGTTGAATCATGAATGCACCAAAAATATACCCTCTTCTCAACTACACATAATTGAATTATCTTTCAATATGTTCAATTGATTTCAATTGTGGTTAGTGATGGTGTTTGAACTCTTATATCACCAACTATCCGTCCATTTGGGTTGGTAATTTTTTCAAAAATAAGTTTTTCAAATATAATGCTACAGTAATACAAAATAAAAATGACTTAAAAACACCTAATTCATACAATATATCAAATATTTCAAAAAATATTTATAGTAAAAGTTTTTCTTATACACTGTTACAGTAAATTTTTTTAAAAATATCCCAAAAAATAGTTGATCCAAACTGAGCCATATATATATAGTTTTGGCATCATTTTTTTTATTAACAAGGAAGGCGAAGGAGGAAAATTAAACAAAAAAAAAAGGAGATAATGTCATCCCTAGTGAATTATACTTCAACTTGAACTTGTGAAGGAATCTAAAGTGGACGATAAAAGCAAATTTTTGAATCCCAACAACTACAATTATTAGTGGCATGATGCTAACACAATGTCATATGAATTTGCCCCGATAGTAATATGATTGATGTTAATGTTGTGCGTCTTATGAATATGTTACAACGAAGACCATTTGAATTAATGTTGCAACTAGCTCAAGAGAATCAAGACGGTTCAAATAGTGGTAGAAAATTCTAAGGGACAAAAAGATGAATACTACATTTTGGTTGCCTTGCGTTACATTACATAATCCAAGTTGGGTGGGTCGAAGGAAAACTGGAAAACAACAAAACAACAAGAGAAAGAGAAAAGTAGCGGTAAGAAAAATCTAAAATAATCAGAGACACGGGTGATGGTGATGAGGTGGACCTGACCATTGGGAGTGAAAGCCTTTTCTTTAAATATCAATCCGGTGGCTTAGGTGGATCCCGCCATCCACCAACTAACATCAGGTGGGCCACCCTCAACAGCAACAAATACGGGCGCGTCAATTATTTTTGAATCTCTTTTATGGAGTAATTTTTCAGCAGTGAGCTCGCTAGTTTAGGCTCTCTTGATTAGTAGTAATTATTATATATTTTCCCCACGCATGCCTCCTCTATTTGCTATTACTATTATTTTTTCAATTTACTTTTTACATGATTATAGGGGGCTCACATTGTATGCCAAATCTAGTGGTAAAGAAAACTTAAATAAATAGCACATGATAATTTAAATAATATAACACATGACATAAACATAGAAGTTGGCACTGAGGATCCCAAGTGAGAAAGTGTGACCAGGGATAGAATTACAAAAATATGCTTTGGGAGAGCGACTTTCATACACGTAAATACTTCAAAGGATGCTGAGAATTTTGCTGGGAAAAGTTTATTTTATCAATGAAATTTTTGAAAATTTTACGAGAAAAATATATAATTTCAAGGACTTTGAGGGTTCCCCTTCCGCTCCCCTTATGGGGTTCGTCCTTAAATGGACTCAACAACACGAAATATAACAAAAGTAACATTAATTTAGTAAAATTTCAATTCAAGACTTTTAATTTTGAGGATTGTAACTTTAACTACTACGGCCTTGTCAGCAGTAGTATCCTTTTAACAGTATTACGTACCCAACAAAAGAAACAAAGAAATTAGAAAAAAAGGCATTAAGATGATTTTCTTTTCTTTTTTAAAAAAAATTGTTTTGGAGTGGAAAGGACAAAAGGTGAAAAGCAAACATTACTTTTAATTGTAAGGAAGGAGTCCAATTATTATATATGCTAACTGATAGTGTGTTTGGATAGTAGATTATTTGAAATAATTTTTTTTTTAAAAATACTGTAACAATTTTTTGATACGATATATGTGAGATATAAAAAATTGGTTGAAAAATATGCTGATAACGTAAGTAAATAAATTTTGACAAAACGCTCACGAGGGTTTTTTTTTTTTTTTTTTCAAAGAATGCTATGGACACCGGCTTTCTTTTTGTGATGCGCGCGCGTCTGAATAGAGATATAAATTGATTGGCATATAAACTGTACCGGTCTATAGTTTATTTTAAAAGAAAAAATGATTGCAGTTTCAGCTGAAACACACATTCTGGCGACAGAATATCATTGGCCAATCAAATGGTATAAAATCGTAACTCCCGGTATTCAGAAGGAAAAACAAATTTATCCATGGGACTGAGTCTTGCATGGGTAAGTTGGGTAAAGAGAAAAATCATGCACATGCATGAATGAGGATCCCCAGTATTCCAGAATGGTCACAGTTGCATTGTAGTAGGATCTAAATAAATATTCGTCTCTTTAGGGTTGACAGTTATTTATTTTTTGGAAGATAATAATAATGTATATTAGTGAGAATATAATGTATTTTTCGGAAGATAATGTATATTAGTGAGAAGATGGATATATGATGTTTGGAAGAAACATCGAACTAGGGGGACCATAAGCACCCCATCCCTTTTATTCCCAATAAATTTGTATAAGATCATGCCCACATGGCTGGCATGTGACGGGGATGGGGTCTTATCATATTATATTACTACCCCTCTTTCTTTTCATTCCATCAACATCTAACCCTACTCTAATTTTCCAATTAAATCTTAAGGTATAAGAGTCTCATCATTTCGTAGATTAAAATGAATTTATTCTATTCCATTGTATCTGTGTTCTTAGATTAACACGTAATAAGAGGTGAACCTACCGTCCGACTGGCCATAAAAGTTTAAAATTTCATACGCTAAAATCCCAAGTTCACGCAATTGAAATGTAGATGCTAATGTTTGAATTTGATGGCGTGCGTGCCCACCTCTTTATTTCGTAAGACCCACGAAATTGGAAAAAGCGTATTAAAAGTATGAAATTTATCCTCAAGAACCAATGGAGTTAGGGTGCGCTTATCTGAATTCATTAAATTATTGAATTATTAAATATTAAATCTAATACATTTGAATGCATGTCACGTTCAGTGATAAGTGAATATCTTGTCACTTAATTTTGGAAGTAAGTTTTGCTAATTAGAAAATTCAGTGTGATCAGTTAATTAATTCAGATGTTTAATTTTTTATTATCAAATGATTTGAATCCATTAATTTTAAATGCTGAAGTGGATTATCACATAGGAGGGATTGAATGTAAAATAAAATTCGATACATGAGCTGCAGTTGAACAATTTAATTTTGGGTTATAACGTTGGAGTAGCTGCCCCACCACAACTAAGCACTAGACACAAGTAAAAGCGGAGGGCAATGTGTGGGCAAGATTTAGCAATAGTGAGTGAGTGAGGAGAACCCTACTATCCCCCTCCCCTTCCGTCTCTATAAAGCTGGGGTTCCACAGATTACATATGCTAGTGTGGTCCATGAGGAATATGTATGGGCATGCCTTCACTTCTTCACACTCCTCTTCCTTTACTCTCAACTCTCTTCCCTCTCCCTCTCCCTCTCCTTCTCCCTCTGAATTTATTGCTTATATCAACGACATCCCTTTGGGAATTCAGAGTCTTTATCTGTATGAGATCTAAGAACTGCAGACTTTGATCATGAATTTTACAAGTCCTGTCATGCTTTTCCACAGCTTTCTTGAACTTCAGCCTGAATTTGATCCATCCATCCATCCACCCATCTCTCTCTCTTTGTCTTCTGGGATTTTTTTCATCAAGCAATGAAGTTCAAGAAAGCTGTGGGAAGACATGGCCACTCAGGACTTCACCCGTTTTACCCCAATTGTGCACAGAATTGCCTGCCTGCACCTGCAGGATGCAGCACAGCTGGTTTTGGTTGTTTCAGATATTGTCTCTGCAGGCTGCAGGCCGCGCGGTAATTTTCTCATAATTGTATACTACTTACTCTCCCTCAAAATTCAATGTCCTTTCTTGACGCGATGTCTACAGCATGCTAGTTACCATTATCATTTTATTTTAACATCTGTAGCTACCGTTGACGATGAACCCGGCAAATCCACCAAATTCTGCTCCACGATTGGCGTGAATTCTTCCTTCTCGGTTTAGGTAAACGTCCCTTGTCTTAAAATAGTTAGAATTGCTCGTTATATGCATATTTCAAAGTTCATGCCACAATTGGAGGAATATTAGACGAAAGTCAAGACCACCCAGTTTCCATGACTTCTTACCCTTTCTTTTCTTTCTTTTTTTTTTTTTTACCGCTGTTACAAAACCCTGCATGGCCGTGTAAAACTTCTCCCGTGAAACTCTGATCACTTTTTTTTTTCTTGAATTGCCTGTTAATGCGGCGCAATGTTTTGTTTGATTTCTCATTATTATTTCAAGAGGTAGTTTAGTTATCTATGCTAGCAAGTTTAAGTTACAAAAGTATAATCGAAGTGGTGAAAACTGAAAGATGTTGCAGAGAAGATTCCCTGCCTTTCCTCTTTTTCTCATCAATAATTGGTAGTTCATCTTGTTTGCCCTTTGTTTTCTTGCTTCCCCATCATCTCATGCGTTTCCGTGAAAAAAGGTTAAACTTTGTCATTTTCTGAAAATTCAAAAAAAATTTTTTTACCACCCTCACCTCTCTCTCTCTCTCTCTCTACACACACTCACACAGTAGCAGTTCAGTACATGCACACGCAGAGACACATATGGATTCTCGCCTTCCTTGATTAATACCCTACGACTCGTCGACTACTACTTTACTACATTAAACAGACCCCTCAAACTTGTGCAATCTTGGAAGTTAAAATATGTCAGTACTAGTGTTCACTAATGCTTGGTGGTTGAACTGATATAGTGCATCAGTAATAGTTATTAGGAGTTTTCAATGCATTTTTTTCAGAGTGGCAGCATATCCTTCTGGGATTATATCAAATTTCCCGTCTATGTTACAACTAGTCCAATGACATATATGATCTCATCATCTAGGGAACTCTCTCCTTTTTTTTTTTTTTGGCCTAAAATTCTCTGAAACAATCTTCAGGCAGCAATTTGCCCGGCTCATCCTTCTCATCTCATCAGTGCACCATTATTAGTCCCTAGATTTTTAAGCTCCATCAGAGTCTGATTCTTCTTGGAAATTGTTGAAATTTTGCATTAACCACGATCAACAACGATGGGAATAGGAATTAAAAGTAAGAGAACAGAAATTAGAAAATGGTGCATAAAAACATACTACTGCTCAGAAGTGAGAATTTAAGGATGCGATTAGACCTGTCACGGGTAGCTGAAATATCTAGATGCGGTTTGGCAAGCAAAGCAGCAGTTTTGATTGGTGGTTGATGGGTAGGTCTGTTAAGATTACTTAAAATAGACCAGACATTGGGGCATGGCTGTCCTGTACCAAGTCTAAAATAGATTTGACATTCATAAAACCCATGAATGCCGTGGAGGTAGAGTTGCCTGCTCCTCTACTATTTTTAAGATTTGTCTGGCTGAAGATGCCAGGAGCTGTGACTCGAGTGTTTGCGTTGAGGGGGTCAGGTTATCACTAGTACTGATTTGGTGTTGCAGTACTAGGGGAGTGGGCAAGAGTTTACTGAGGCAGTTGGAGAAGCAAAGTCATCAGATGATCAGTCCTGAGGAGCTAATGAAAATTAGCCAGCATCTCTGCCTTGGGCTAGTTGTTTTTTTTTTTTTTTTATTATATATATAGTTTTTTTCCTTCCTCAAGTCAGTCAGACCAATCACTTTTCAGTTTCTATTTCCAGTTATTGGTTTGGTTGAAATGCCAGAGTGACGAGCAATTCATAATCAAGTACGTCTATAATTAATGTCATTTTCTAGTTAATTTTTTATTTTAATCAGTTTGAGTTAATTTACCCTGTGAACCTGGCTCCGGCCCAAGGACCAATTCCCAGTTCGCATAGCACATAACCAACCACCTTGTTGGGAAACTAGATAGGTCCGTCTGCAAGTTTGCTAGCTCAAGGCTTCATCTTCCCATCTATAAAGAAAAATCCAAACCTCATTAACTCGCAATACTCTCGCATTACGAAGCGTATAGGGCATAGATAGCAGGATATCAACGTCTTCTGTTGTGAATTGGGGACTGGAGTGTTGCAGGTCCTTCTTCTTTTTTCTTTTTAATTTATTTTTGTTTCTGAAAGTCCATTAAATCATGGATGAATGATACAAATCAGAACTCATGTCCTACATAGCAACAAATTAGATTCATTGTCCATTCCCTTCAATCTATCATATATGCCATAGGTTTCAGTGGTTTTCGTAGAACTATGTGCGAACTCAAGGACGATCATCTTAATTCTTGATTAGACTTTTTGAGCTAATCTACGAAGCCCTTCCCTAACTACTAGGTATGATGTGATGCAACCCCATGGAAGGCCGATTAAGTTAGGGGAGATGTACAAGAGCGAGTAGCTGCATATTCCTATTTCCTCACACACATGGCGCATAACTTTTGCCATGCGTATTAACAATGAGGCCCAAGATTGTTTTGCTGTATACCTTTCTTTAAGGAACTTAATTTACTTGCAAAGTAAGTTCCCAAGGAGGAGACATTGTGATACCTTCCATGAATGACTGACAAGGTGATACGAAGGTAGCTGTCTTATGAAGCCATTGGACTGTGGTTTCTACTGTTTTGATTGGTAACAACTAACAAAAACACTGCTCGGAGTGAGTTTTCCACAATCATATCAAGAGAAACTCGATCAAAACGGACCAAAACTGCATAGGTCAAAGCCTAAAGGATCAAACTATAACATAGAACTTTAAAACCATTCTTCACTTATAACCAAAACTAATTAGCAAGTTTACTCTAAAAGCTAGTTGCTCAAACTAGTTAGTTCACCAATAGTGGCTTAGAAAGTACTCAAAGCAAGGACCTGAGAGCGGGGAAGGACTGGTTCTCTACAACTAAAACGTAGTATAGCCGTAGCATGTGTATGTACAATGCTCTTTCATGTCCATTTCATGAAAAACATCTTGAAAATGGTTTCAATATGAGAGGAAGATTCTATGATATAACTTGTTAGCAAATTTAAATTAAGAACATGAATCAAAATCATATACCTTTCCAGAGAGCACAGACTTACAATGCCGCGTTCTTTGAAAAACTTGGCCAACATCAGAGTTTCTTATTAGACCATGTAGACCATCCTTTCTAGGTGCCAACTAGAATGAGAAGGTAATCTGCATCTAAATGGTTAAGTGGTTGTTTGGTTACAATTTGCTGACAAAGTTTCGAGCTTTATTCAGGCAAACGGCTTTCTAAGCCAATCAAGAGATTACGTTTTAAGGGTGCCATAGAATCCTCATTGGCTTATCTATTTCAGGTCGAAGTTTTATTACCGATTGGCTTTTTTGCAACAAATCTAAAAGTGTATGTCCCACATTCCCCATGGCATACAAAATCCAGCTACGAATCCACATCAATGATGTAATACTTTAATAAATTCAATCACTTGGTGCAAGGAGCTATGGCATAAGTCTGTCCTTATGCCCCATTATCGACGAACAGAAATGGCAAGTTAACTCCAGCCATCTAGACTACTGGTCATCAAATGTTCTTTGTTTGGCACAGGTGTTGAATCGAAAGCATGAATGGATAATGAGCATTGTTGAATCTCCATCAAATGCTAATTATAAAAACCTACTGTGCAGTTTCTGTAACATCAGGTTCAGCATATTTTAGACTTCTGGACACTTTTTCCCCTAATTGTGATCTTCGGATGCTGCAAATGATTTCTCTAAAATGTCCTAATGTCAACAGACTTGTTTTTTGTATTCCGCATATAGGGCAGTAGTAAGAGTAGCAACATTTTCAAGAAGTCAAGAAGATGGAAAAGAAAGATTCACGTTTGGCCTGATTTCTCTTTCTGTTTCTCTCGTCTTGTCAGTCCATGCATGTAGTTTTGTTTCTCAATGCTTCTCTCTCTCTCCCTCTCTCTCTGATGATGTTCAGTCTCGGCTTGTTCGGTCGTGTTACTTTAACATTGTGTTTATGAGTCTAATGGAGTTCATCGTAGTTTTGCATTAATAAATCCAGCAACATAACTAAGCACATAAAGGGCATTAATTAGCCTTCAGCAGAAATTGACGGCGGCCCTGAATTGGCTGCTTTCTGGGGACAATATGACTTGAGGTTGCGACATATTTCTGAAGAAAAGCATACAAAACTGGACGAGTGCCTCTCAAATCGAGTTGTATCCAATTCGGTCCGGTTATTAGAATTTTTATAACATTTGACATGCATTCATACAATTTTGGTGTAATTGTAATTTCTACCCTATCTTAGTTGCATGAGTTGAACCTGCTTACACCAGAGGATGTGACAATAATATGACCGGATAGAATTGGACAACACTTCCAACTTGAAAAGCCCCGGATCCTACAAAAACCTTTCAACCTTTCAAACTGACTACAGCGAAATAAAGTAGGGGGGGGGGGGAAATGTACAATTGTTACATATCAGCAGCATTTTTCTGGAGCAGGAGGAGGAGGAAAAAGAGATTGGATGTTGCGTCCAGCCAGATTTGGGGCCCTTCTAGTTGATTTCTGTCTTTTTATAACTTTTGGCATAAGTTCATACAATTTTACGTAGTCGTAATTTTTACACTAACTCAGTTAAACGAGTTGACGAGCTCACACTTAACGTTTGGGAGAGGGATGAATTAGATGGCTCAAAGGAAGGGGTATAAATAAGTAAGAAAACTCGAATTCATCTTGAGAGGAGAGGCCCCATATCCTATCCAGTAAGTGCGCAATGATTTCTTGCATGCAATACACGTACTCGAATAAGGGAAAGATAATTGTAAGATATGTACTAATATGTTTGATTGTTGCAGCACCTTTTAATTCGAGGAGTTAGAGCAACCATAAAATCACGCCAAGTTTTGCCTCCTCCTAACAGTACTTTACATTAATACATATTGGCCAATAAGAGCGTGGATCGTGCACGGTCGCATTATTGGTGAATCATTTATAGTTCATCTAATCTGATGATGAGCTGTATGAAGAAGAAGTTGGAAATTAATGCATTACCAAACAATTCTACAAAGAGACAGATCACATGTGATTAAATTTTGATGCAGCAATGCAATGGGAGAAAACTTCTTCATATGAGTACCAATGATGACCTTTACTGAGAAAATAATTGGGGAAAGAGGCCAATGTACGGACAAATAATGGGTGAAGCTTTTTGTCCACGAATCAATCAATATATGTCTAAAATTGTATGCCTAAATAATCAAGGGGCGGAGAAGGCCGTCGTACATTAATGCTTCGACCCACCCCACCCCAGAAGAGTTCCCTTCTTCTTCAACAATGAATTGCAAACCAAAAGGGGTTCCATTACGTACGGACGAAGAAGTTTATTCATTATTGATCATATATAAATGGGAGGCAGGCTTTTTCAGAAGAAGTATAAATCTATTCGCATTCAAAAAAAAAAAAAAAATCCGACGAAAACTAAATAGATGGGGGCCGGAATAAAATAGAATACGTACTTCACCCAGAATATTCAAGTGTGTCGCCCACCACACATGTAGAATAAGAACTTACTTGCTGAGAGTATCATACGTTCCTTTCGGTTAAAGAAAAAAAAAACAACACTTGGAGAGAAAGAGAAACAACCAAAGAAGAAGCAATGATTCCGTCCCGAAATGCCGGATCAACAGAATAGTGCTGTCGCTATTAGCAATGCAACTACCACTTGTTGTTAGAGATCTTTATCCAGGAAGACACGTGAATTCTTAACCAAGGCCACCTCTTCCTCTTTCATGCGAAAGTGCCACAACGTTAATGCCACTCACTATGTTGGGAACTTCACTCAAACCCCTTCATGGATGGAATCAACCACTTTAATTCTCCGTGACTGCGAAATCAATCCCCTCCCCCCCCCCCCCACCCCTCCTTTTTTTTTTTTTATAGTAAATCTTATATATAATGTGTATATACTATTATCGCATGATTCATGATATGTGTAAAAGTTGAATTTCAAAAAATTCAAATTTTGCATAATTGTTATTCATCCAACGCTGACGCTGACGGTGTATACACGTAAATATGATTATTCAAGGAACGTCATGCAATCAATCATCTTTACAAGCATAATTATATTATTCCAACTGAGGGATCTTTACCTACCTGCTTTTTCTTTCTTTCTTTTTTTTGTGGGCTATTTGTTAATTTGATGACAGAACAGCATCAAATTCATTCATGGTAGGATATAAAATTGGAGTAACAATCAATGATAATGGGTTTGACTTTGATTCGTAAAATTTCATTGACATTCCGAGAGATGATGCCTTCTTGGCTTCCGCTGGCTGCTTTTTTGACACCCATTAATTAAGGGTCGACAATGGTGTCTAATCCTAACTTTTCATCCCCATCACCCAAGGCTCCAAAGCCAAAAGCACGATTAGATGGCGTATCAGACAAATAAATAGCAACTTTTTGACCTGGATATGCGGTGGCTGATTTCAAACCTTAATTAATTACATGTTGAACCCCCATGTTTAACTTTGGACCAACATGCTTATTACCAAACAAAAGCATGACCCCTCGAAAGCACGGCGGCCATTTATACAAAATTTTCAAACTTGGTGAAGTTAAAGATTGCAATTTACCGGAAACACAATTCATAAAGTAATGGTAGCTCACATGTGGTGGGTGCTTCATCCTCCACCATCGATCCCATGCATAAAAGTACACAAGAATTAGCTACGAGCCTCCGAAGCCAATTAAAACAGGTGAATGGAGACGCATCCGATTGAATTTGTTGGGGCAGAAGACAACCATGACAGGGAACCGATATTCTTCCTTTTTATCTATTTATTTATTTATTACAGCACGAATTTATTTATTCTTCCTTACGATGACAGAATGAAAAATTTTTACAAGAGGTTTGCACTTTCCATGCCAGCATAGACCGGAACAAATGACAGAAATAGATTCTAACATAATACTGCCTAATACATTAATGTAGGACTCGCAATTCTCACAAGTAAAATTTTGATGTTGAGTTTAGACAGCCTAATGTTTGCAGGTTGGTTTTTTGAATGATGATGCAATGGGCATGGGAGAATTCTGCAAGAGTGCCATGCACAGATTCTACTGTTTTTTTTTTTTTTTCCAAGAAAGAAAATGTGGATCTTTCCCAAGCTCTGTAACTGGTGCTTGAATACACATTTTACATGGATGACTTATTTGCTTGCACCATTCCCAGGAAACAGGGATACGATCTTCAGGCATGTCTCGTTTCATCCGGACTTGGAAAAAACCCTAATTTTCTTTTAACCCTTTTCTCCTGCAACATTTGACCAGGTTTTTTCTTTTCCTAGGTGAAACCATTGTCCATAAATAACGCACTAAATCGATTTGGCTAAAAATTATCAGACCTACAACAACCAAGTCTCCAAATAATATGCTTTATCAGAATTCATACAAATAACCTTAATGTATAAGCTGGTCTAAAACTGAATTGATAGTTACATACATGAAAGAAGGCAATGCAAACCTTGTGGTCCTTGTAAAATTGAATGGCCTAAAAACTTGTATGCATATATGGGGGTTCAGAAAATCACACATAATTTTAATGGTGACAAATAAGCATCATTAAAGTTCTTTCCCTTACCTCAACCCCTTGTTGCACCCCCCATCCCCCTCCTACCCACAACAAATAAATAAATAAATAAATAATAAAGATAATAGAAAGGGGTAATTAGGCATTACCCCCCGGTGAATCTATTTGATTGAACGAAGAAAAAATTCATGAGCAGACCAAAGATGAGCTGTCCATGAGAATACATACCAGAGCGGAGAACTATCTAAACCATGGAGACAGTTGCCTGCCTGCCTGAAATGGATCCCAAAAGCGGGACTACAGATATCACCAAAAGACCATCTTGGATCATGTACTTTAAAAAAAAATCTGATATCCTGCTAAATCTAATTGTTTGCTCGAATGTAAGACCATATTTTTGTTCACGAAAACATAGTCAACCATGGAAGTTCCTAGAGAGCACTTTGTAACAAGAATTGATTCCTAATTTATATGGATGTATGCTATCAAAGAAAAAATAAAATAAAGAGCATTAGCTTTTGAATTAAACATCAAATACAAGCTACCTCATCTCATCTGCAGAACATCAAACGATCTGATCACGAGTCTGCTAGTCTCGAGGGGTAAAAGCTGCAGATGAACATAACTGATAACGGGAGAAACTATTTAGCTTCATACAAAAACAAAACATTCCCTCGCAGGATGGAAAAGTCAAAGGCTGAGAATCTAATAATTCTGTGGTTATACAACATAGGACATCTACATATATATTGTAGTATCCAAAACCTGCATCTACAGGTTCCGGGCCAGACTATAGACGCCGGTAACTATTGTCGTGAACACGAAGGGGAAAGCCAGAAAAAAAAAGAGAAAAAAGAAACAAAACCTGAGATATCATGCAGTTAAAAACTGAAGCCAAAAAATCGGAGCGAGAAGTTTGTTGATCCTATTAGTATCATCCCACAGCTTTATTGAACCGCCATCATCGCATCACCTCCACCGAAGTCTCGCAAGAATCATATTCATGGAGTGATAAAGCCAGATGCAGTTCAAGAAAGCTGTGGAATAATACGAAGAGGACCATATCTAACTGGCTCTAAGCACGCAATATCGGATCTAACCCTAAAAGGGTTTTTTCTGTATGACAAAAGAGACGAGTGTTTTACTGTAAAGAGACTAGTAGTACCAGTATATCACACGAGAGAGAGAGAGAGAGATTTGTAGGTATAGGGGAAGACGAAGGGATGGCATGTATATATAGGGAGACTTGAGTTCTTTTTGCCACCAATCCCAAGAAGAATATTGGGCCTTAAAAGAAACTCTCTGAACACTTCCACCACAGCCTGTTCTGTTACCCTATTTAATAACCCGGAATCCCTTTGATCTCAATAATATAATGGTAGTTTTACGACCGCCCTATTTAGAATTGTTCCTGAGCTGTTAGAAATTTGTTATTTGTCTCCTAAACCATTAATTTTAACTCCATATGACTTTATATCATAGTATTCATAGTATTTTTTGCACTGTTTAAATTAATTACGGGGAGAAGATATGGGTAGAGTAGTTGAGGAGAGCGTGTAAGTGAGAGATTTCGGATTTGAAAGAACTCACTTACAGTCTTACATTAAAAAAATTCACAATTTAACAAAATTTCTAATTATTTGTTTTAAACTTTTCATCAAAAGGATTGAAGGGAGTCTTTTCAATCAAATATATCGCAAGAACTAAAGGACTAAGGATCTTTCTAACAGGTACCCTATGGGCACTCGGTAAATATATTTTTAGGTGTCAATATATTTAGAAATGTAAAATTAATTAGGAAATGTAAATAAATATAATAGAGGGTAGGTAAGATTAAATAGAAAGAATATATAAATACAAGGAAGAATAATAACTATTAGTATTTATATATACATAGTAGGTTTGGTAAATGCAAATATGTTAACAAATGCCCATGCGCCGTTAAAAAAAACCCAAGGACTAAAGTTTTTTCGTTCAAAAGTATTCTCTCAATACAATCCAAAAAAAGGTATTCTTCAAATGACTCTCTGTTTTCATTTATATCGCAATAGAACTCATGGCTTTTACTCAGCTAGAGTAATGCACCACATAAGTTTATAATTTATAGTAGTATTTTTTTGGGTCCTACATAATATATGGTATTTAAATGTTGCAATTGATAGTTTAAAATGCAAATCGGGACTTGATGGATAATAGTTAACCCTTAGAATGAGCGATCGTCTTTATTTTGGTCTGGACGTAGCCTCTACAATCTGACGGCTGTTGTAGCTTTGAGACAAGGGTCCCACATCAGATCTGTCCATCTTGATGGACGTGTAGTTCCATAGCCACGCGCTGCCAAAATTTCCATAGCCACACAATCATGGATTAAGGTACAGTGTTTTGACACCAAATTATTTGAGTCATTGGCGTTGCATTAACAGCTTCCAAAAACTTTCAACGCACTCCGAAGTTCAGATCGTGTAAGCCCATCAATTGGAATACAAGAGTATTGTGATTGAAAACTTCGATATAAAAATAAGCTAAGTATATATATACAAAATAAAATAATATTTATTAGTGTGTATTCACATGATAAATTAGGTATGATTTAAGCATACTAACAGCCGCCTAATAGTAACTGAAAAGTCAGCCGAGGAGAATGATCTGAGAATGATCTAAACAGATTGCTGGTTAAATAGAAACGAATCGACCTGCAATGAGCGAAATGTAAGGGTGTGCATCGAATTCGAATTCGAAAGTTTTCAAAATTTTGGCATATGAATTATCGATCGATTTCGATTTCGAATTCACCAGTTCTGATTTCGATTTCGAATCCGAATTCAATTCGGAATTCGGAAACCTTTTTTGCCTTTTTTTTCTTTTTTGTTAGA